TACAGCTCGTCCTATATCCTGGCTTGGATCAGCTTCCCCATGACTCTTGTCAGCGGCCTCATGTACCTGGTGCTCAGAAAACGCAAATAGATGTGATGTGCCTGTCGCACAGGCTCACAGATTTTCAAATATTTAAATAGGAACACTTGGACCCAAATGCATAAAGACACAAACTTTTCCTCAACAAACATGCACACACTCTTTCTGACCCTTTTATAAATACCATTGGAGGCAAGTAAATACAGCACAAATCCACAGTAATTTCAAGTCTCAGGTTCAGAACCAGACCATTCACCAATAAAACATTCAACAACACATTTTTGTCCATATTACACACTGAAAACCCCAAAGAGTCACACACCCTTCTCCTTCCTGATGGTACATTGTTCTCGCTGAATGTGGCAAAGATGCACAAGGACGCCATACTATATACTTTTTTCCAGACAAGCGCCTTTAGAAACACTGCTTACAGTTGATTAAATAGACCCACTGTGAGTCTTTGTTTTTCTGTTTTCAAGCACAACAGTGACTAAAATTTGTTTCTGGAATCATTTAAGGTGAGAAATACACCGTAATTCACATTTTATCTGCAATGTGTAGTTTGAAAAATGTAATCTGACTTTGCCTGCTGGATAGATTCATTTACATGAAGTTGACGTCGCACATTAGCCTTGCTGCGTTCATCACCCACTCACTTCTTTGAATATAAAAAGTCCCCTGTGGCTCCTTGATGCGTTTAGTGTGACCATACCTTCACTACCCTCCTTCCACTTCCCCCCCTAGCCATTACACATGACATGAGGAGTGTTCCAACATAATTACTTGTCTCCTCCTCTTTTTTTATTGTCTCCTGCTTCCTATCATCTCCATTCATAGGAACATGTCTGAAACATCTTAATGTGAAGGATAAAAGTTGAAGACAAGTGCAGAGATTTGTTTGTCAGACACAGCCCATGGACTTTCCAAAGGGTCCGTACTTTTATTGTAGGGTAGTATCTATAGTCAACGGATTTTATTGTGTACATATTTGCTGTGTATGTATAGTTAAGACAATTGCCACAAACGTATTTCTAAGACTGATATTATATATAAAAAAGAAGAAAAATTGTAATCTTATTTTAACCATAGCATACAGGACGTGTACTGAAGCAGTAGTTAAGGTATAATATGTAGGATTTTAACCCGTTGTTTGTATTCCTATGTTACTGACTTTTAATGGTGAAAAAGGAACCAATGATGTGCTGTGATATTTGGGATTTAAAATGACAACATAGAGACATGCAAACTTGAAATAAGAATGAACATTTCTTCGTTATTATTATACTTCTTTGTTCACAGCTTCACTGAGAAAAAAAGACAAAAGCTATTTATTGTTTAAAACCACTGTTGTGTATTTTAACATCATGTGAGTAAGGATGTATGTCTTGCCATATTTTCCCTCTGGCTGGGCTACTGTTTTTTTTCGGTCCATTACTGACACATAACTAACACCCCGATGCACAGGTCATGCACTTGTGCTCTGGCACAACAGTTAATTTGTTACTGTATTGTACATGCCACCAATTCCAAGAATTACTAGTATCTACAGCTTTTGTAGAGATAATGTTTTATGCCATAACAGCGCTGTGTAAACTGTTTTTCTTTTCCTCTGTCTTGGTGTTGATTTGGGCGTTAAACAGTTAACGGAGACCAGCTGGATATTAACTTTGTAGCTGCAATGGCTTGAAACATTTCTAGGACATAATTAATTAATGTAAACAAGCAAAATGTGCAGTTCATCTTGGACTCGTTGGCTCCTTCAGAGGTGCACTGGATTTCTTTGTTATAGGAATATGTACATGTCAGGCAACGTTTGGACCACCGAGCCTGGTAACTTACCATCTCACCAATAATGAAGATTCAGGGAAAAGAAACGGAAGTGAAGATTTTGCTCTGCTATCTAAAGATGATACTTGAAAATGATCAAACAACATATTGGAGGCCAAGATTGTGATGTTTGTTGCTCATGTTATTTTTTTTTTGGAAGTTGTCATCTTAAGAGTGTTTCGCTAAATAATAAGCCTCCTGTTTGCATGCAAGTTGTTGTCTTACAGCAAATCCCTTCAACGTATATTGAGATGAAAAGTAGTTTGTTGCAGTACAATAGGCTAGAAATGTTTTTTTTTTGCGAAATACTTTTTATTATAGATCATGTAAAGTTTGGATCTATTTGGTTGAGCTTTGGTAATTTCCAAACAGGTCCGTGGTGTGTTTTATGTCAGTGTAGATGTACCTATGTTAGTCAATGTAGATCTACACAAATAACCACCGGACCATAGTAACAAAAAAATCGTATGAATTATTGAAGGTAAAACTGTATTTATGGGGATTTTTTTTATTTTTACATTTTTGGTAGTTAAAATCTTTCTGATGCTTCATGAAGTATTAATTCCACATTGATTGAGAGTCTTGTGTTGCTTTATAATGGAGACATATTAAAAAGTTAAATGTTTTAACAACTGAAGTTTAACAGTTTCTTTTCCTGCATAGCATTCATCCAAATGTTTGTTTTGGTGCAGGCTTACATGTTGAATGGGATTGTTTCTGCTTGTTATGGGCTCTTTTGCTGTATTATTTTCGGCCAAATAAAATCACAACATGGTGTTTATTTCGACCTCTGTTGCAACATCAGTGGCAGCTTCTGTGTTTTCGTTTAATCACGTCATCAAATTAAATGTTTGTCTGCTATTGACACCCAGTGGACTGATAGAAACTACACAATGTGATAGATTTATAGTTTCAGACTACAGAATACACCGCTACAAATGCCTGTCAAGCACTCCTGAAAAGAAGAAAGTTGTTGCTGCTTGGCGGAACAATACTTTCAACTGATGCAGCTAACAAAGTCTCATCTCCGCTGCAATAATTTATAGGTGCTGATTGTTTTCTTGTTGCCCCACCCATCAAATGTAGAGCTCAATAAATGTATTTTAAATTAAATAAACGTTCTTTGTGTGTGCCAAATCTGTCATTGAGTCAACTACTCATCTATACTTCTGGCATCTCACCCTCTTCCACTAACCCCCATTTTCATGTGGAAAGGATCATTGTTTCACCCTCTTCCAATGCAGTGTGGTAATACTACTTTCCTTAATTTCAGTTTTCAAAATGTAAATTAATCTGAAGGAGAGAGTTGTCTGGCTGATATACAATATACTCTACATAATGAGACTAATTTGCTGTAACTGTAATGATGAATTTTACTATTTATGCTGCCCCATCTAGGTCACCCATGATGTTTTCCTTGATCTCTGAGCTTGTTTTTGTATTTTTATTATGTTAACGTTACTGTATTAGTGTTACGAGAGAAACCAACGATGTACCCATATATTTGGGAAAGCCTATAAAATTAAAAACAAAAGGAAAACCCTGTCATCATTGTACAGCATGAATTTTGAGGGCCTTCAATTGTTATTTTACACAGGTGCAGAGGTAGATACATTACGTATGAGGAGAACCATTTTGGTATAGATTGGTTTTAAGACCAGAATTTACGGTTTAATCTCATAACATTTCTTTAGATGATGCTTTTATTCTGAAAGAATCGAAACGGAAGTATAATGACGTTAGTTTCCGGAATAGTTGATGGGTTAGCCAAACAGTCATCCAAGGAATAACTACCTGGAAAACAAGTAGGATTGTATACGCCGCTCCAGTCATTCTTTATACTATAGTTGCATTATAATCGAGTATTTTGAACGTAGGTGCTGTATAATCGCTAACGTTAACGTTACATGGCTTAGGTGCTAACGTTAGCTAGCGTAACGTTGCTAACTTAGCGCTTTGCTAAAAGGACTGTCCTGCTAAAAGCTTCAGCTAAAGGTTAACTTAGCTCTTGGTAGTGAGCTTTTTTTTGCAGAATAACCTGTTGCTCTTTAGAAACATTTTAACTGATTGTCCACTGATACACCTAACTGTTTTCTAATTCACAAACCAACGTGTGAACATCAACACATTAGCGAATATAATAATGAAAGCTTGCAAAGAAGACAGTTTTTATTATTCGCTTGTTAAGTCCTGACGTAAGTTATCCACTATGCGATAAAACTTTACGGGTCCAAGCTTCTGATTCGTTTGCAGAGGCACTCGTATTTTCAATATGCCATCGTGTTGTCCGAATACATCTGAGTGTTAAAACTCCTCAATTGTCATTCAACCGCCTTCCTTGCGATGAGAGCGAAGAAGAAATGGCTGCAGGTGGTTAGGTAAGTAACCCCCCCCAACTTTTAAAAGGTTGGGGTGGGTTTTGCTCACTCATTACATTTACATTTACTCATTAAGGCGAAGCTTTTATCCAAAGCAAGTTACAATTGCTATTTATGTTAGAGGTCGAACGCCTCTGGGTTAACATTAAATGTCTTGCTCAAGGACACATTGGTGGACTTGTCAAAGTGGGAAGTTGAACCTCGGTCTCTCACACCAAAGGCACTCTTAAAGCATTGATAGGAGATATCAGGGGTATCTTCTTTACTGAGAATATATTTATACCGCAGTACACAGAAGAATGAAATAAGTTTGTTAAATGAGTCACTTGTTTCATTGGAAAGAAAACCTGAAAGCAGGCCGGCCCTATTTGGGCATAAGATTGGACACCCCTGGCCATAAAAGTTTCATCTTTTCCATTTGAAGTTGATGTGTTTGTAAGTAATGATGATCACTGTCTTATCACTGTCTTATTTTACAGGCATGAAAACTTCACCCCAAACTGCAACTCCAGGGTGTGCAGATGGCAGAGCTGCTTGACCATCTCAATCCAGTGAGGGGAAGACTTTGCGATTCCCCAACCACCTCAGCCACAGACAGAACAAACTAATAAGTCCCTACTGGTGGTGAGGGGGAAGGACAAGATCAGCTACACAGTGCTGAAATTGCAACTGCGCAGACCCCCAGTCCTTTAAAAAGTCCACGGACCAGCTCGTATTGACGTTTTCTGTTTTGAATTTACAGTAAATTCCTACTCAGAAATGGTTATGTTGCGTGTGGCGTCAGACTTAACAAGCGGATTATTGTGATTACAGTGAAAATACATCTTTTACACAGTGCTAAGACAGAAATGAAAACATTTCACCGATTTGTGTAATGTCAGTTATCAATTAGGTAGACGCTGAGGAGATACAAGTGAACTCTTTCAAGGGATACGTAATTGCAACACCAGTGTTGAAGTATTGTTGATGGCCTTTACCATCGCCACTGCCACTTGAAGTATACATAAATGTGGCGTTTGCATTACACGTTGCTCTTTAAATGTGTTCATTGTCTGTTTTCTGTGTGTCTGTTGATAGAGCAGTTTGCAACACGGCAAAGAAGTTAAGGACTTCAGTCGAGCACAGATGAAGCCTGGCAAAGAGGGACATAGTAGACATAACAGGTAGGACAACCAATATTACAACAAACTTTACTTAGACACAACTGTATGACATAAGCCTCTCATATGATGAAGGGATAAAGGTGAATCGTTCCTTTTCTTCAGACAGTTATGAACATTTGCATTCTCTGGTCAGTTAATGACCTATTGTCATTGAATAAGGGCCATATTATATGTTAAACATGTTGTGCTTGTATGTCAAAGAAGCTAAAACTCAAAGCAATTTATTTTTCAGTTTGATAGACACTGATTCAACTGTCAAATCTAAAACACCAGTGCAGTGAATACCCTTTTTAATCGATTGTTTTCTGTAAAAAAAATAAATATTTTACATGTTTGGGTTACTTTTACCTCTTTTTGCTACACAAATATCTCGACGGTAAATAACTGCCTTTGTATTTAGCAACATTATTTGTAGCATGATATTGTTATTGTGGGCAACATATTTTAATAGCATTGTGTCACATCGTCCAGTAAGGTAGAAGTGAAACAAAATCAACAGTGGCTTACTATCTTTGATGGATTGATTGACAAGGTCCGCCGCCCTCCCTCACGTTTCTGACTATTGCCCACTTCTGTCTTGACAGTACACTGCAGGTTTAGTAAAATATGGCAGATGGTCAAGATGAAACGCATGGCTGCATGGGCTTCGAAAGACAAGCTCAAAAGAAAGCAAACCATTCCACCAAACCAAAGAAATGCAAACACTTGTCTCAGAAGCTAACAGACAGATCAGTGGGGAGAGCTCGAGTCAACATTGGATTGGCATTTAAGAGGTGGCGTGAACTGAAAGCAGCAAATGGATTGAAATCTGACGCAGAAGTGGCACTGTGTCTTCTGGATGTGTGAGTTAACCTCCCAACAGCTTCGTTATAGCGGAACAGCTCTGTAAATGTTTGCAGGTTAATTTGTTCAAAGTGGCTTACAGTTGAAACAATAATATAATGTACATATCTGGAGCTGTTTCGTCCAGCTTCAGCTTGCATGTTGTGGAGGACTGTGTCCGTGTAGACATTCCCAGGTCGACAGAGGTAGCTGGTTGCTTAACGATACATGATAAATGACAGCAAATAGAAATATTTCTGCTCCTCCAGCGCATTTTCCTTTTTGGCACTCATGGAATGCTTTTGCAAGTGGATTTCCTGCTTTTAGGGCGTTGTGCTTTTTCCGACAGGCTGTTGTTTCTCTTGCACGCTACGCTGCAATGGCTTCTCTAGTTATCACACCACATTTTGCCACCTCTCTTTCCAGCAAGTTGCTCAGGGTGTATTTAAAAATATTCATGTGAAGTATTTTTCTTATGTATTGAAATTTATTTAAACGTAGTGCTTAGTTTTAAACTTAGGGCGTATAGTTAAGATTTCCAAATGTAAAAATGAAATGGGATACCTTCAGTGTGCCATTTCTGTTTGAAACAGACTGTATCTTAGGCATATATCTGAGTCATTTATACATTTTATCTCAGCTTTGTAGCTAAATACCTTTTGATGTGACTGTGATCATGACATAATCTACCTCTACACATTGAGTGTATTTATTAATGTTAAATTGTTACAACCCATTCACCTCTTATTCTATTCCAAATTCAAAACACTGGAACATGAGGGGTAATCAGGGTTCCTTAGGACATGTTTTAGAGCAAAGAAACGAATGGCTGCTTCGGAAGTAATTTGTTTATTTTTTATGTTGCCAGAAATGACTATTGGTGTCACTCTTGCTTTGCTCAATGTGACATATTTCCATGAATTACTGCCCAGGTAGCAAGGCACCTTGTAAGCTTGTAAGCTCCTCAATGTAGAGAAGTGATTCTCAAACTGGGGGGCATGACAGAAAAAGTTTGAGAACCACTGATGTAGAGTAACAAACACCAGTTGAATACTAACTTGACATTCTCTGTGTTTTATTTATTTGTCTGTATGGATGAAGAATGAAGAGGTTACCCTCTAGGTCAGATTCCTCTGGACCCAGTGATAAAAAGATCAAATTCTCCCCATCTGAAGTAAGAGACAACATTGTACGATTGTTAAATGTATACTTGTTCTGTGCATGGTTCTGTGCATGGTTCCGCCTACAAATGCACAATACTGTATTATAACCTGCAGTTACTGAATGCAGCTCTGCGAGATGTCTGCATGTGTGTGTGTTTATTTTGTGGGTGTGTCCACAGGTGCAGACACTGATCGAGCAGGAGGTTCGCACGGCAGTGAAAAAGAATGAAACCAAGCTGCAGGGTTTAATAGAAAATATTCAACAGCTGGATTCTGGAGTTGACTATGAAAGCTCCATCCAGAAACTGGAGGTATGTGGAAGTAATGGTACACGTTGGACTGCAAAAATGCTGTTGATCTCCTACAAAACGTACCCACTGCTATCTTGTTCCTACTTATTCTTTACTTTACTTGTGTGCGGGTGCTTCTTTTGCTTTGCTTGCGCAGCTTATGCCTCCTGATGAATGCAGCCTACTTTCATTTGGTAATGAGGGTTTTGGACTCAACACCTGCACGGGAGTTGTTTGGCTTCTTCAGAGTTGGGTAGTTGGGGGTGACCAGACACACAACTAATGTTGTCTGATACTTCAATTTACTTTGTTTTCCTGCAAAAATCATTCCTTCTTGTAAATGCAAATCTGACATATTCTTTGTTTCTTTTTTTCTCTTCTTACTTAATTTCTTTGTTCCTTTATTTCATCAAGCTCTTTTACAATCAGTCTCTTGCCCTTTTCTTGTTTTTTTTTTTCTCTGCGTCTGCCCTTTTGTAAATTTGACAGCTGCTTGCAAATCTTTTAAGCATCCATTCTTCCGCTGTCTGTCTTCATCCATTGTACATTGTTAGTTTTTCCCCATTAGATGAAACCCTCCTACTATCTTAACATTCACCTTTTTGTCCATAATTTTGTTATTCTGATATTTCTTATCTCCTTAAACCAACAGAATCAAACATGAATGTATTGCACCTCAAAGGTATAAAGGAATTAGGTATAAAGAACAGCCCAATTAATCCTTACAGAATGTACCTCTCTCCCTCAGGCTCGAATTAACACAATAACTAAGAGAGCAGAAGCAGCTCTCACCTACATGACAAAGAAGCAAAAAAAGGTTTGATGCAGACAAACACATACACATGACTTGTAAATAGACTGACATGTTCAATGTCAAAGCTGTAACTTACTCATGCGGTTAAAATTTTAGAAAACAACAGTATTTTGTCTGGTTTGTATGGTAACTTAAAATACCAACACACACACACACACACACACACACACACATAGCCATTCATTCACTTACTGATGAAATCTATAACCAAACACTTTGACTTTCAGAGCTCACTGCCATCTGGTGTTAATGTGGACACAGTCAGGTACGTAGAACCATGTTCAGTAGTATTTGTCCTCACTGAAAGTTTTGAAGACCCTGATGCGAATTTGTGCCTTGAATTTATTTGCACTGAATCCGTTTTGATTTGATGTCCAACTCTGCAGGTCACAATGCAATGATAATACCATGGAAACCGAGTCACAGAGTAAGAGCCCAGTGAGCCCGTGTGTGCACTAATGAATATTTGCGTTTTTGGGTTTTATGAATAATTATTCTATCCATTTGTATTTTACAGTAGACAGAATGAGCAAAGACAAGAGTGGAGCGCTCTTTCAAGTGATGGTAAATATGTGGTTATTCATTCTGTGCTTTTAACTCAGTTTTTCAGTCAGCTTCTACAAGTGTAAATCTTTGTCTGTTTTCACTCGGCAAAAAAAAAAACTCTTTTCACATAGGTCAGTTTTTGGACAATAATTATTTAGCCGAGTTTGGGCCTTTGTGTTGAAGAAGTGTACCATGTACTCTGAGGAAAGGGTTAATGTCAAAGTTGGTCATTTTTAATTTAGGAAGTTGTAAGTTAGTGGCTTACACTGTTTTGAGTAAACCAAAAACAGTGTAAACACTGAGGTTAAAGTTTACGTGACTTACATCCTTTCTGTCTAGGAAACCACAAAAAAGGCACTAAAGAAGATGCATGCTGATAATGAAGGTAAGATGGTTTTATTTCTACAAGCAGATGTTTGAATAGCGTGTGTGGAATAAATGACTATTATAATGACACAGATTAAATAATGAACCAGTGCATGAATAAATAACCACATTACGCAATCTCTTTTTCTACTCTTTCCTCTCCCTTCCTCTGTTGTCATTGTACATAATCCGTGTTAAGCTTTAACAGATGCCATAGCAGATTTCAATGAGGAACTGTCTCCTCCGCTTCTTACTCCCTATGGCTCTCCTGAGTCTAAGGTAGGATGCCTCATTATTTTATATATTAGGGGTTGGGCCGATAGATCTGGCGATGGCAGACATCACAATGTTGAGCTGTCATCGTGACCTTTTTCCTGAGTTTTCCACTGATCTATTATAACGGCAGCAGGTGAGCCACATGCGGGCTTTTGTTAATGACGTAGCCTATTAAACAACTGAAGACTTCTAACGTAAAAGGCTACCAAGGCTATCTAAGGGTGGTGATGCTGCAGTGGATAACACACATGCCTTTGGTGTGAGAGCCCCAGGTTTAATTCCCCACTGTGACACATCCACCTATGTCTCCCTGAGCAAGATGCTTATCCCTTTACTTTTTACTCAATTACTCAAAACGATTGTCATAATAGTCCGCGATTCATTTAACTAACCGACTAATCAGTGCAACTCCATTTTCAAAACATGCCACACATAATGTTATGTGTAACTCATGACAAGCTACTCAAGTGAGCAGAAAATATTGAGTTTAATGTCATTGATTATGTTCATTTTGTGCCTTGCCTTTATTTACTCATCTTTCTTTTCCACGCTTGATGTTGTGTCATTCAGAAGTTTATCAGGGTCATAAAGAAAGAGCCAGAAGATCAACAGGAAAAAGAAAACAATGTCACAGAGCCAAAGGCTGAGAGGGTGAAAGTAGAACCTCTCACTTTTGGCGACAGTAACAGTCCCACGCACACAGGCTCAAATCAGGTAATACACACACTCACACTAACCCACACTAGTAATTCTCTTGACTGTTTGCTACTCTCAATAACTTCCACTGCTTCTCCCTTTTCTAAACCTAAGGACGAGCTCTCGTATCCTCCTCTTCCCTCCACCACCTTCCCCTCCATTCTGAGCATGGAAGCAGCCTCATACAACATCCCCCAGAAACCAGAAGTCCAGCTTGCTCTCATCAGGAACCCCGCTGGCCTCTCTGTGCTCTGGAACGTGGAGGAGAAAGACCCTTCTGCGCCGCCCATGGATTGTTACAGGTGAGAGAAGCACCAGAGTGCGAGAGATAGCGTGTTGAGTAGGCAGGTTTCAGCCCTGCTCCCCACTGGAAAAAGTCACATCAATGTAGTAGTTTACCATTTAAGGGACTGCCTCTTTCATGCTGTATTTGTCCCAGTCCAATGGCTCCAACAAATGCAGCTGAGAAATGGATCATTCTTTTGGTCGAGTTTGGTGGACACAGCCGGATGTATTCTGTTTACTATAACAAAGTAAAGCATCAAATCCTGCCATTTGAGAAGATTGAACCTGAGAATGTGTAGCATTTTCTTTCTTCACAATTTCTTCATTTAAAATCACACCATTAATGAGTTCCAATGTGCTCTAATTATTTTTCTCTGGATCAACTAATTGATTGATTGACTAGATGGACTAAATAAGCTCTAGTAGATACATGATTTTAGATGCTGCTAGAATGAAAACTAGAATAGCTGTCGCCATCTGAGACAAGTAGTGTGCCAGATGTTGTCGCCATCTGGCACATGTGAATCAGATGAATTGCCGTCATCGCTCTGCTTCTGAAACAAGCAGCCACTCTCAAACAGGTTGATTAAAGGAGTGATATCTTTTCACACATCTGTCAAAGGAATTTTACGCCATACTGCTTATGTCAACTTACAACCACCAGATGGAAGCAGAGTTCAGCCAGATAGTGGTCTTCAGTACAGCTCTCTTTGCCTTTTTTAGTGGCTCACTTTTTTAACACACTCTTTCTCTCTCTGTTGCAGCGTCTATATGACTATGGAAAAGGTTAAGGGTAGTGGCGTCTTCCCAAAATGGAATAGCCTTGGTGAGGTGAAGGCCATCACTCTGCCCATGTGTGTGTTGATCAGCAGGTACAAGCCGGGGCACAAGGTGTGTGTCGCTGTGGTGGGGAAAGACAAGTTTGGCCGGTACGGACCCTACAGTAAAGTTGTAACCGCAGCCATACCTGAGTAGTTGGGAGGGAGGATATGGGTTCAGGGGAGAGGCAACACGAGCACCGAATGGTCAAGTGGGATTTAACCACCCGTCACGTTTGTACTTTCTCACTTATCAAGGTGTAATTCAAACATCCTTACGGTTGATAACATCAGGATGTCCTGGAGGTACAATTTTCGTAAAAATTGTTTTTGGGTACAATTTTACATACATATGATTTAAAACTTTTTCAACCAAATGAAACACAGTGAAATTGCACCCAAATGTAAATAGGACCCTTGCTGCCTTTGCGGGGCCTTCCAGCAATGATTACCGCTCCAACGTAAGCAGTGTAGTTAGTAGCCATGTGTAAGGCAGTCCTTTTGCTGTTTGTCTGCCACTCATGCAGAAATTGGTCGGGCCGTAAATAAACAGTACAGCGTGAGTTGTCATTATACTTCGGAAAGTGTAGCATTCATAAAATTGTTTGTGTAACAATGTTGAATTTTTAAATATGCTATTAAAGTATGCTCTGTAAGATTTTTCAGATTTATCATTTATACAATAAAAATCTCTAAAAACACTGGATGGTACAGCTTCACAAAATCTGAAAGTTTCTTGCTTCTCTGTGTTTCATAGAATTAATTGAATACTTTTGATTATTTAGCTGCTGGTCTGACAAAAGCCATGGACACAACCAACCTGAAAGAACTTGTGGATGATGCTAATGTTGTCTTTACAGAAAATGCAATTTGAAGTGCGTTTTTGACATAGTCCGCTAGCAATAACTGCCATCAGGTCTCGTTTTACTCTGAGCCACTTGATCCAGGACTGCAGTGCAATGTGAATTAAAAGAGTGGACAAGATTATTAATATCAGTATGGTGAGATAGAACTGCGTCTTTGTCAAAAGCTGCAGAAACCTTTTCAGCTGAGAGGCTGTTTATGATGCGGGAGCTACTTATATGTTTTCTGTGCACAGAGTCCAAATTAAAGGAGAGGTTGAAAAAGACAGTTATGGTCAGTGATATGCAGTTCCTCTGAGTAAATGCAATCAATATTCAACCCAAGGGTAAAAACAAGGTCCAATGTGAGACCCTTAATGTGTGTGGGACCGGACACATGGTGAACAAAATTAAATGATTCAGTGATATACCAAGCAGCAAAACTACAGGCATCATCAATGTGAATATTAAAATCATTAATCATAACCACTTTGTCCAACTGTATAATAGTTGATAAAAAATGTAGTGCTCAGGCAGTGGCCTGTTGCAAAACAGGAAGGGCGAGGGGAAGACAGTGAGTGTGGAATGTAAATAGTCAGTTAAGTGCTGAAGGCTGCACCACATGCTGTATATTTGCAGCTAGCATTTGTGATCCCAGTCTGTTCGGGTGAAGTCCATCCCTTTTTAAAAACAGAACGACGTTTCCAAAAGATATTAAAGTTATCAATATAGCACATTTCATTAGCCCTACAGGCAACTTGTAATCAGTCATGGAGGCTGAGAAGTCTGCTAAAACGACCAGCGCCGCTGTGAACTGAGGGGATGGGACCTGAGACAAACACGGACTTCCCGCACTGCTTTATGAAGTTAAAAAGAAGGTTAAAATCTAATTTGGTCAACTCAGACTGCTTACGAGCTACCTCATTTGCTCCCACATTGACTATTACTCTTTTGATAGAGGATGGGAGCGATGGCAGTAAAACCCGGAGCTTTAAGATATCAATATATAATAACCTTAGCACCGGGAAAACGGAGTGTGACGGCATTAAAGAATCGCACATTTCTTCTTATGGAATCACCAATGATAAGTGTTGATTAATAAGGATTAAAGAATAGCAATTCATATTTAGTGCATCGACAATTTAGTTTTTTGGTGTGTAGTAGGCATTATCACCTCATGGGCTGACCTGCAATGCCCTGCTAATAAAAATATCCCTTTTTACAGTGTGACAAGATGTCTTTTACACACTGTCGTTGGGCTTAAACTAGGGCAATGTTAAGCAGTAAGTGTGTGTGTGTGTGTGTTAAAAAAATATAAAAAAATAAAACAGTGTGTGTGTGTGTATTTAAAAAAAAAATTAGTCTCTATAAGAAATAAAGGCAGTCAGTTTCAACGAGTTCCGAAGAAGGTTCCAAGCGAAAGGTGCTGCAAACATGAAGGCTTTTTTACCTAATTCTGTTCAGACACGGGGGACCAACAAGTGTAGGACGTCCTTTGAACGTAATCCATAATGGCCTTGAGTACTTGTTAAAAAGGTACTCAAATAGGTAGGAGCTAGTCCAAGAAGTGCCTTATTGATAAAACAGAGCCAATGAGTGTACCTTCTTGCATAAAGAGAGGGCCATTTAGCTTTATAGTAAAGGGTACAGTGATGTGTCCTATAATTATAGCCAGTGCTTTAGAAATGTTGGCCCTTATTGATAGGATAGCATCTTGCAGTTGATGGAGATTTGTGGGATGCACATCCAGGGCACGAAGCTCCCGTTCCACCACATCCCAAAGATGCTCTGTTGGGTTGAGTTCTGGTGGCTGTGGGGGCCATTTTAGTACAGTGAACTCATTGTCATGTTCAAGAAACCAATTTGAAATGATTCGAGCTTTGTGACATGGTGCATTATCCTGCTGGAAGTAGCCATCAGAGGATGGGTACATGGTGGCCATAAAGGGATGGACATGGTCAGAAACAATGCTCAGGTAGGCCGTGGCATTTAAACGATGCCCAATTGGCACTAAGGGGCCTAAAGTGTGCCAAGAAAACATCCCCCACACCATTACACCACCACCACCAGCCTGCACAGTGGTAACAAGGCATGATGGATCCATGTTCTCATTCTGTTTACGCCAAATTCTGACTCCACCATCTGAATGTCTCAACAGAAATCGAGTCTTCAACTGTCCAATTTTGTTGAGCTCTTGCAAATTGTAGCCTCTTTTTCCTATTTGTAGTAGAGATGAGTGGTACCCGGTGGGGTCTTCTGCTGTTGTAGCCCATCCGCCTCAAGGTTGTGCGTGTTGTGGCTTCACAAATGCTTTGCTGCATACCTCGGTTGTAACGAGTGGTTATTTCAGTCAAAGTTGCTCTTCTATCAGCTTGAATCGGTCGGCCCATTCTCCTCTGACCTCTAGCATCAACAAGGCATTTTCGCCCACAGAACTGCCGCACACTGGATGTTTTTCCCTTTTCACACCATTCTTTGTAAACCCTAGAAATGGTTGTGCGTGAAAATCCCAGTAACTGAGCAGATTGCGAAATACTCAGACCGGCCCGTCTGGCACCAACAACCACGCCGCGCTCAAAATTGCTTCAATCACCTTTCTTTCCCATTCTGACATTCAGTTTGGAGTTCAGGAGATTGTCTTGACCAGGACCACACCCCTAAATGCATTGAAGCAACTGCCATGTGATTGGTTGATTAGATAATTGCATTAATGAGAAATTGAAAACTGAGCCAGTTTCATGATACCCGAAAACCCAAGTTGAGCCCAAGATAGTTAGCTAACTAACAATCACATTTGTGGACAACTTTCTCTTGGGACAGTTTTTTCTTTTGTAAATGTTATACAAATACAATACAACAGTAAAGTTTATAGGCTAGTGGCTTGTGTTTTGCTTGTTTTGTGTTTGTAGTTATTGCACGCAGTACGTATAACTCTTCCAAACGTATTCAGGTATACATACCTGGGAGTGAGTTACATTTGTCATACCTGTGTTTTTCTTTGGAGTATGTATGACTGCAGAGTTATTTTCTCTCCCCCAGACCACAATATGTAAATAATGAAAGCATCACATTTGGAATCTGTTATGCTTATACATTTCAAATAATATCTGTTCTTGTGCTTGTGCTGTTGGTCAGGCACAGTTTGGTATTATGCTGTAAATGAAGAAGTGGGAGTGCGACTGTAAAGGGAGTCATTAGACCCACATTGAATGCTTTACTTCCACCATCAGCAATAGTCTGTGGGTATGTGTGTGTGTGTGTGTGTGTGTGTGTGTGTGTGTGTGTGTGTCCCTTCAACAAGCAGAACCCAGTGGGGAAGCACAGCAGAATGATGGGCCTCCTAAGACCACTTAAAAGCAAACACCCACATTCACACTGACACACACTTACTTGCACACACAGCGGCCTAATTAGAGCTGACAGCAGAGTAGAGAGAGCTTATGAAAAGAGGGCGAGGAATAGGGGGAAAAAAGGATGGTGCAAAGACGCCAGAGAAAGCAGAGGTGGAGCAGAGAGAGTGATTAGAAAGCAAATGCTTTCTTAAAGTTTTGAAGTGAAGTGTTGGCAGAATGGGGACCTGCTTCTTCATTCCCTTCCCTCCTGTAAAATTGATTAAGCAGCGTAGCCTTAGGACGTGGCTACCCTGTGAGTGACAAGTTGTCACCACAGCGACCTGTCAGGTCTAGCAATACAGATCCCTTTAGGCTAACAGTGGCTACGTCCACTTCTTTTATACAGTCTATGGTAGAACAGTAGAAATACAGCATGCATGTTGCCTCCTAATCCACCATGAATGTATGCTTGCATGTATGTGATTAGTCAATGCATCGCCATGCTGGGTGATGCTACATTGTGTTGCATCAAAAGTTGATTTAGGTTCAACTTGTTTCTTGGACGGTCCTGGAGCACTCTGTGTTGGCACACCTGCTTTGCTGGCGGACTGTCCAGGATTACAAGGATTAACTGTCAGTGACCGAAATGGTGTCAGTAGTACTGGTAAAATTATTTGTTAGCTCTAAGTTCCGTGCAACCAGCAGCACACTACTCTGTATTTTTCTCTGCCTCCCCCCAGCATCTGCCCTTTCACAGGCTCCTTTTAGATAAGACCCGCCCTTTGGATGTCTGACAACTTATCAAAATCACATGACAACCAGTACAGTGACAACTGCATGAATGACTTGCAAAAGAACATTGTAATGGATCTACTGTTGCACCTTCAACCAACACCTATGAAATGTTGTTTGTACGTGGTTAATTTGGTTAAGTACTTCAGTCATTTTATGCGCATCATCACTTAGCAAATAGTTAGTATTTTGGGATAATGGGAACAACTTTTTTGAGTACAAGACTACTTATTCTGCATCATGCATCATATAAACTTAATTCAGGGGTCACTTTTTTGTGAAATGTCAAAGCCAGTATGGGTTTATAGGGCAATGTCATATTGCTGTTACTTATTGTTCTGTTAGTATAGCAGTGCCTTTATTTCCCTGTTTCTATGTCAGATGACTACATGGATGTGCTAGTGTAGATACCACATACAGAAATTACTTAGAGCATACACCAAACTTACCCATCTGAACTACAATAACCTTTACCAAAATGCAACTGAGTTCAAGCTTCTGGTGAATTATTAACAAAGGAGAACTGCCAACGTTCTGGCAGTAAAGTATGATTGTTTCTGTCCATATAAGGCAATGGAACCCTGAATAGGTTTTACAAGAACACAGACACAAACAGCCTGAATGGACTTGGAGGCTACTAAACTAAAATGAGAAAAAAGAGGGTATGGAATTGGATTTTGATAAAGACAAACATGCTTTTGTACCGCTTAACAGAAAAAAAACTGTTTCTGTGCAGCAACGGGAAATGCAGTAGCAAAGCAAAGTGAGTTGGTTATTTTAGCTGTACACCTCGTATAACTGCATAGAAATCATTTTTTTCTTGGCAGCAGCAACACACCTACTACCGCCACACACAAAACTGGGTCCGCCCACCAAATGCTTCCTGTATATGATAAAATCAGTCTATAATTTGACACACTAACAGGCATTGAAAATGAAAGACACTCTCATTTCTTGCAGCTGCTTAACACAGGACCACAGACACAAAGGTAAAACAACACATTTTAATGTATCTGCTCCTGTTTGTGTATGTGAACATGGATATTTAAACATATACCCAAAACAAATGAAGATGAGTTGTCAATCTTGCATAGTTATCCAGGGAAGGCATTTTGTTTCTCATCCGTGAGGCTTCTTCAGATTTGCTCTCGGTGTGTTGAGCTGTGCTTTTTTGATGAAAATAGTGGCCTTTTCCAATATTGTACTGGGTAGATGTGTTTCCAGTTTCAGGTATAAGCTAAACCGGACTGGTTGAAGGTACTCAAAGACTTCTACTTCACATCTGAGAGACCTCTTAGTTCACATAAGACCTAAATTGGTTTCTCAGATGAGAAGCGGGTACTTTCAACCGGTCTTGGTGCCCTTTTTTGTAGCCACCTTGGATAACTATGACCTGGATGACCGAGAACCTAGACATCTAGAGAATAAAAATAGAGACCAAACAAGGATTGCTTTTATTTGCAAATGAACAGTTTTGTATTTTGTATTTTGTAGTTTGTAGTTTGTATAGAGAACACCTTAAGAACTCTTCATTTCTAGTTCAGAAATCAGAAATTATACTGCATCACATTTATGATCCATCTGAGGACAGCAATGTTTGTAAGTGTAGCACTTGTACCAAAGGGAAGTTGTTGACATTTAAATTCTTTCCAAATGGCAGACTGAGCTGATACCAATGACATAATCATGGGGAGCCAATGCTCTGCACTCTGGAGGGGTAAAATAGAGGAAAAGGAACCTGACCAAAAGATAGACGAGGTGTCCACCACAGGGAAAAGTCGAGAAAAGTCTCCTCTCCTCCAAAGAAAGCTATCTCTGCAGGAGGAGGGGGGAAACGTAGAGGAGACACCAGTGGATGAGATTTTAAGGAGGTAAGAATAAGAAAATTCCTCTGAAAAATTGGGTTGCAGTGAGATTTGCAGCACTCTGCCACATGAGTACACTGTGGTTGTGCATAAATAATGATTACTAATACTGTCAACTGTTAATCTGTAAAGCATAGTTGTTTTTGTCTTTTGTCAGTGTGTGCCTCTCTGAACAACATGATTCTGCTTCAGCCATCACAGAGAAGAAAGGTGGGATAAAGTGAATGGTTTGAGGAGCAAACATGATCTTGATTTCAATTGGTGCCCATAAAATGGCAATCGCAAGAAAATAGCTGTACTTGTTTTTTGGGGGCCATTCATTCTGCTGCATGCTTATAGTGGGCACCCCTCTCCCAAATAAGATGACGTGCCAATATGTGTTTATCGTTTTAGACGCTGACTGGGTGGACAACAACAGGGCTAAGCTCATTCAGAGCGTTACTTCAGTGATGCCAATAGCAGATGAGATGGTTGAGCAGAAAATAATCCATAATGAGATGTACGCCAACATTATGGCTGCCAGCACCAGCCAGGAAAAGATGAGGGCGCTCTATACAGCCCTCACATCTACCAAAGCCAAATGTGCCTTCTACAGAATCCTCCAGGACATTCAGCCAGAGATAAGTGAAAGTATGTGAGGTATTTTTGATGAGCTGAGATTACTTTGTCTAAAGCATTCTAAATATATACAATTTGTTATGGCTATTGTAGTAAAAAACTCACTTGTGTTAAGATTTAAGATACTGTAGTACAGCCTTAAAACACTGACCCCAGGTATTTGCAACATTGATTTATTGGTGATAAATCAGTGCTGCAATTTTAATACATTAACAAGATTAAATGCCCTACACAGTTTAAAATATGGCTTTGCTCCTCAAATAATTTGATTATGTTTTTTGGAAATACATGTTTATTGGTTTTTAATTATGTTTTCATATAAACTCTTTCATTGCAGCAGAAGATGTTGTCAAAGAAGTCCGCGCAAAGCACAAAAAACATCTGATGGACAGGTTTAAATATGAGTTTGAAGGCACTGACAAAGATCATAAGGATTTGAAATCATTGGACAAAATTTACACAGAGCTTCACATTATCCAGGGGGAAAGTGAACGTGTCAATAAAGAGCATGAGATCTGGGAGATTGAAGACAGGACGAGGAGTGAAACAGCTGAGGGCGCCAAAATCAACTGCAATGACATCTTCAAAAGTACCCCAGAAAATAGCATGTCATCTGGGCAAGACAGAAGAGAAGTGAGAGCTATAAGGACTGTGATGACAAAGGGAATCGCTGGCATTGGAAAAACTGTCTCTGTGAAGAAGTTCATCCTTGACTGGGCATATGATAGAGCCAATCAGGACTTGGACTTCATCTTTGTGCTGCCATTCAGGGAGCTAAATCTGGTTATAGGTGATCAGTTAAGCCTTGAGACACTTGTAAAAAAATTCCACCCGGAACTTAAAAACATAGCAGTTGCAAGAATATTTGATAACTGCAAAGTTTTGTTCATTTTTGATGGTCTTGATGAAAGCCAACTTCAACTGGATTTCAAATGCACATTGCTGACAGATGCGACTGAGAAATCATCAGTGGACATTATTGTGACCAACCTCATCCGGAAACATCTTCTTCGCTCCCCTTTTGTCTGGATAACCTCAAGACCAGGAGCAGTTCACCGCATCCCTCGCAACCTTATATACCAGTGGACTGAGGTCAGAGGATTTAATGATGAACAAAAAATACAGTACTTCAGGAAGAGAGTTGAGAATGAGGCAGTTGCTGACAGAATTATTCACAACATTAAGATGTCCCGGAGCTTATACATTATGTGTCACATACCTATCTTCTGTTGGATGGCGGCAAAGGTTCTTGCACATTTGCTGCAAAAAAAGGACAAAACTCAAGATGAAAACATAATGATACCCACAACTCTTACTGAGATGTACACACACTTCTTGTGCATTCAAATGCAGGTAGCGACTGAAAAGTATGAGAAACTGAATGGATCAGATACAGAGGAGATCTTCAAGTCAAATGAAGAATTCATTTTTAAATTAGGCAGGATGGCATTTGAACAACTGAAAGAAAGCAACATCATATTTACTGCCAATGATCTAAAAAACTATGGTATTGACTTGCGCCAAGCTGGAGTTTACTGTGGGTTGTGCACAGAGATATTCAAAGAAGAGAGTGCGTTGTACACAAAGAAACTCTACTGCTTTGTGCATTTGACAGTCCAGGAGTATTTTGCTGCTCTCTTTGTGTACCGCAGTTTTGCAAGTAAAAAAATAGATTCTCTGAGCCTCAAGGACTTCCTGCTAAAGGGGTCTGAGGAAGAACTCAAGTCTAAATTGGATGCAGATCCAGTTGATTTACCTTTGGATGAGCTGATTGAAATTTCAATAGCTAATTCAACTCTGAGAAAGACAGGAGAACTGGACATGTTCCTCAGGTTCCTTACTGGCATGTCTCTACAATCAACACAAGAACTGCTTCAAGGCCTGATTCAGCAGACAGAGGAACACTCTGCAGTTGTTAAGGAAATTAGGATTAGTCTAATAGAAATTGATTTAGGGGACTGTTCACCTGAAAGATGTCTGAACCTTGTTCACTGCCTGATTGAGCTGAAAGACAGTTCCCTACATGATACTGTGCAGCAGTATCTGAAACAAAATCACAGCCCAGAAAAACAGCTCACCCCTGTTCAGTGCTCAGCTCTGGCCGACTCCATTCTAATGTCAAATACGCCTCTAGATGAATTCAACCTGAAGAAATACAGACCGTCAGCAAAAGGTGTATTTAGGCTTGTCCCAGCTGTGAGGAACAGCAGAAAAGCAACGTGAGTTGGTTACTGAAACTGTATACCCGGTATATCTGCATAGCAATCATTTTATTGGCAGTTACTTCACATAAATGATATGCCATGTTTTGAATGTTGCACAAATACACAGTTCACATTTGCCAGCATAGTGGCAAATGAAATGTATGCATCTAAATCTGATCTTGCATGATTGTCTTTTTTCATTTATGCAGAATCTCAGGGGTGTCTCTCGATGTGTGGCTTTGTGAAACAATCTCCTCAGCTCTTCGAATGCCAAACTCAGTGCTCACTGAACTGCACCTGATAAATAATATTTTTTATGACAAAGGTACAAAGATCTTGACGGATGGACTGAACTCTCAGTGTAAACTAGAAGCTCTGAGGTTAGTAAACCTATTATTTTGTATTTCTTTTCTTTTCTGTTCTTAGTACCTTCTATTTATGCATTTGTATAAGAAGTGAAATCCATAAAAAGAGAAATATATTTCAAGTTATGTATTTCAAGTGGGCTCATCTTAAAGGTTTAATACACTAAAAATAGCATAATCTGCCCTCAGCCAGCCAACATGAGCCCCAACAAACAGGGACATCTTTTAACCACTGCATCCGCTTTCAGTCAGTTTCGCCAACTTCTTTGTCATGCTGGCAGCATGGCCTTAGGATGTATTCACACCAAATAAGGTGTGCAAAAATACCAGTGCATTTAGGCTGCAGCGGTTGTTACTGCAGGGAATGCCAGGAAACAAAGCAGTAGCCGACAATCGCATAAGCTGGTGATCAGACTGGTCAAACTGCTGCACAGTCCTGAAATATTGCTGAAACCGGGCGCTGTTCGAGCAGAGTTCACGCACCAAATGATGATACTCCCCCACTTGTATCCTCGCTTGGTTTATTTTGTGCACCCAACTTCAACGTCTGCATTTGGCTTGCAGTCTGTGCTGAAAAATTGTGATACCAAGAAGATTAATTTGGTTTGTGTAGAGAGAGCAAGCTACAGTGATTGAGAGAGCTAGAGAATGAATAAAGAGATGGTGGTAGTGAGAAAGCTGGTGAATCAGAGAAATAAAACATTATTTTTTGATTGTTTCACAGTGTTTATATACTAAAGTACAAATATACTCGCTCTTTGCTGCCACGTCTGATTTGGTGTGAATAGGGATAATTAGGGATGGCAATGTTGGTTGGTCTGTCGATCTGTCAGCTGGTCAGTTCCCCACTTTTGTCCAGACTGAAATATATCAACAGTTTTATACATGCAGTCATGCAACAATTTTAACCTGTTTTTGTCTTCTGTGTTTGTAGTCTCTCAGGTAAGGGACCCTCACAACCAGAGTGTGAAAGATTGGCATCAGCTATCATATCAGTCATCTCAAATCTAAGAGAACTGGAGCTGAGTGGCAACATACTGGAAGACTCCATATGCTCTGTGGTTTCTGCTGGGCTTGGCAGCCCTAAACTGGAGAAGCTCAGGTAAGTTATTCCCCAAATCAATGAAGTATGAAATGTGAATAAAAGGCTCTCCACCTGATTAGTTGGCTATGTCATACAGCAGAAATTATGTATGTGTTCAAAAAAGACTATCACCTACATTATAGAAATAGCTGTCCTGCTAACAGCCAGTCCGGTTGTCTTTGGATGAAAACTTCTTGATAGATGTATTATTTTTGTTAAATCTCTTTTAGTGTAAGCAACATGTACCTTATTAACACCGAATCAAATGTGACATAGTTTGCACACCTCAGTGTAGACTCTAGCTGCTGTCAGCTTAGTGTTTTGGATCTTAAGTGTGTTTGGTAAAGTCTGGACAGTATAACAGTATGATCTATTAATACATTTCTAATTTAATGTAATTTTTTATCATCATTGTACCAAAAGACTTAACCGAAATCCTGGGACTGCAGAAATATGTAAGGAGTTGGTGACAGCCCTCACATCCAAACCAAGTTACCTGCGAGAGTTGCAACTGAGTTACACCAATTTGAAAGACTCCGAAATGGAGATCCTCTGTACAGGGCTGATGAGCACAAACTGTACACTGGAAATATTGAGGTAAAAGACCACATTACATTGCACTGCAATTTAAAACAAAAATCTTACAATTCTTAATTACAGCTGCAACTTTATTTAAAATAGAAGAACGTACCAAAATACATGTTTGGAAGTATGCAAATAGGCAAGATCATTTTTGACAAGGTTAATTTAATCAACTCAGAGAATGTAAGTGGAACAGTCAGTGCTGGAGAGTAACTAATTACATATAATTACAAATAAATGTAACTGTAATCAGTTACAGTTACTGGAAAAATGTGTAATTAAATAACAGTTGGTCATGATTGCATTCGGGGTTACATCTGAATATTTTCTGTAAAAAGCTAGGCTATTTGTTGAAAACATTCATTTTGTTGTTTTGCATGTTTTTCATGTGCACAATGTCTTCCTTTGCCATTTCCAGCCACAGCCCTTTACGAAGGTTTGATGTTATACTGATGCTTTTAATTGGTTTGAATTTGCAGCGCCACCTGCCAGTTAAATTGTCAATCAAGCTGTCTTTGAAAATAGTTAATTATAAATGAAGAATTAGCAAATAAGTAAATGTAATGTAAGTTGCATTACTTTGATAAAGTAAGTGAAATAATTACACTACTATTACATTTTAAATAGGGTAACTTCTGTAATGTCAGTAACCTATTACATTTCCAAAGAAACCTTCCCAACACTGATTATACAATATATACTGTATATAGATAATAAAAAACTAAATGCTACTAAATGATAATGTAATGTTTTTTCATATATAAATATTTTTCAGATGTTTTTTATAACGTTAAGCAATTAAATTCTATTAATTTGTGTTTCAGTGTCAGTCACAACAGACTCACGGACAAAAGTTGTAAGATGGTGTCCTCAGCACTTGGCTCCAAACCTTCACCCCTGACTGTGCTGGACCTGAGCTACAATGTCTTGCATGACTCAGGAGTGAGGGCGCTCTGTGATGCACTGATGAATCCACACTGTGGTTTAAAAACATTAAGGTCAGTGAGTTTTATAGAGACTTGTGGATTTTACAAGGTTCAACTTTTTGAAACTGCTGTTGGATTCAAAGTGTGTTGATTCAACATCATGGGCATTTTAGATGTTGTTGAATTGTATGTTTTGTCAACCCTGTTTATTCGCAACATAATGCTGTGCGCTTAGATGGTTAACATAGGGCCTATGTTAACGATCTAAGCGCACGGACAGTTGCGTTAGTTGCGTTCCATCTTGTTGTCTAAGAATGGACAACAACAAATAATATGCTGGTCTACATACGCGAAGAAGGCACAGAGGGAAACAATAGCTACTGCTGCCATCGTCGTGGTCGGGAATTTCAACAGCTCTGTGTTTCCAAATGTTCTGCAACACATCACATGCTCCATCAGACCATGCTGCCAAATTTCTCTTGCCAAAATACAAACAATGGACACCAAAATGACAGGAAGTTTCAATTCAGAGGAAAGTCATGTGCTGGACTAACCAATCAGAGGTCGCTCTGCAGGATGCTCTGAATGACACAGATTGGGACATGTCATAATGCAGCTTGACAATTACATTACATTACATTAATGTGTTATGTACTCTGTTTTGGGATTTATTGGGAACTTACTGGAAATTGTTCATTAAGAGGATCATCAGGACCTTTCCAAATCAGAGTTTAAGGGTGGATCACATCATCCGTGACGCTTTGAAAGCCCTCACAGATGCAAATACCACAGTGGTTGCTCCTGGGAACATGATTAAATTGCATCACATAAAATTCATAGTGCAGTGAAGGAGGCCAAGCTATGTGGGACAAAACTAGAATCACAATTCAAACAGACTGATTTCACACATTTGTGGCAGGGACTACAGAGCACAACCTCTTCTAGGACTGTGAGTGTGGATTTCTCTCTGCCCAAAGAGCTCAAATCTATACATGCTTCAACCAGCAGCCCTCAAGGTTTGTATTTAGGGTGGAAGACCCCACCGTTGAGAAGCTTGTCACTGTCTTAGTGCACGACGTGAAGACGTCAGGACTGGACAGAATCTCTGGGTGTGTTCTCTGACTCTGTTCATGGAGATCTTCAACTTCTCCCTGGTCCAGTCCATTATTCCCACATGCTTAAACTGTTGACAGTGGTTCCAAAGAAAGCTCATCCCAGATGCCCAAATTTCTATTGACTGGTAGCTCTGATCTTCGTGGTGATGAATTGCTTTGAGAGGTTTGTCAAAGACTTCACCGCCACCTCACTACCTCTGACCCTGGACCATCTCATCCAGCATGCCTTGGCCCACTGGACATCACGAGGGGGAATTGTGTTCAAAAATGCCCTTTGTGGACTGCAACTCTGTGTTGAACACTACTGAAGACCTGGGACTCAACTCCATCCAGAATAACACATTTCATTCAGAGGGTAAATTCAAGTAGTAAATTCACTGACAAAGCAGAGGCATATGAAGTCACCTTGTGTAATGTTTATGATGCAGATTATTGACATTAGGTCTGCTAGTACCAGCAGTTTAGCGCTGATAAACCTAATTCACACACTTCAGTCTGATCCAAGTCTTACCCTATCATTATCCTAGTGATTATTTCACAGATAAACTTGCCCGCTAACAAAGAAAAGAAACAAAAACAACGATGAGCTATTCTTTTGAAGTGGACCCATGAGATCAGGCTCCCTTCAAAAAGCTGTAACTAACTTGGGTCTTGAACCAGTGACTTCACACAAGCATATAATTTTTAATTCATCCACCCGCCATATGTCACTGTCATAATCATATGTATAGCATATAATGTTATGTCCAGGTTATATTGCTTAATTTTTCTGAAAAATGCATTCATTCATTCTGATTATATAGTTCATTGTTTCATTCATTGACTTTCATTGAACCCGTCTGTCTGTATGTCTATTCGTTGGTTGTGTTCTGGAGCTAGGCATAATAATTTCTATACATTATACTGTATATAATTGTGTATGTGACAATAAAACTTGATTTGATTATTTAAAAACAATAATATTACATAATTTGATACATTATAATGATGCTAGCATTGTCCTTTAAGGGTAAGAGTTCTTTGCTTTTGCTTCTGCTTTTTTCGGTCTGCCTTCTACTCTGAAGGTGTAAACTTGTGTGATGTTTGGTGATGTATATCAAACAATTCTAAAGGAAAGCCTGATGACTAAGTAAACTTAAGAACAAGTGAAAATTATTACTGATAAGGTATGTAACACACGGCTGAAATGTCAGATGTTTCATTTCTGTAGGCTGTCCTTCTGTAAAGTGACAGGAGAAGGATGTGCTGCCCTGGCCTCGGCTCTGAGGTCTGACCACTGCAGCCTCTGGGAGCTGGACCTGAGCTTTAATCACCTGGGTGATCAAGGAGTCAAGCTTCTGACTGAAATACAGAAGGATTCACGCTACAGTCTGGAGAAACTTAAGTATGCTCAAACAGGCTATCTAACTAACACAATTCTATCATTATTACAAGATTAATTTGCAAGATTCACTTCATTTGTTTTGATTTGAAGTGCATATGTGACAACATACTTGATGTTTTCACCTGCTATCCCTCTCAGTGTGGACCAAAATGATGAATGCTGGTTTGACTTGAAGCTTCTGAGACAATGTAAGAATGCCACTCTGCTTTGAGAGCTATTTTCTGTTTCAGGACTATGTACTATCAAGTTCAGGCAGCGGCCACATACCACAGTGACTCTTCTTCCATAGAAATGTGACTGTACAGAGATAATCAGATACTAAACATCCCTTACAAACTCATCTACATTCCTTCTGCACTGGAGTTGCAGCATTTAACTTTACACAAGTATCACAAATAAAGAACTAATGCAACCACTTGAACAGCATGCCAAAATTAATAGTTTGGTCACATGCATACTAACATCATTGTTTTAAGGTTGATGACAGAACATGTTCATATTATTCCGAGATGTAACATATCTCTAATTTGATGATACAACATTGTACTAAAATGATCAGAGATCAAGAACCACACTCACACAGCAATATTATCTCCATTCTCCACTCATTCATTGTTTCTTCTGTCTGGATTGCAGATGCCTGTGATCTGACGCTGGACCCCAACACAGCAGATGTGGAACTAATTTTGACAGATGACAACAAAAGGGCAACATTTGTTCATGAGAAGCAACCATATCCTTATAATCCAGACAGATTTGACTGCTTTCAAGTACTGTGTAAAGAAAGTCTGACCAGTCGCCATTACTGGGAGGTTGAAATTGAATCAGTTGATGTTGGAGTGGCATATAAAAGTATCAACAGGGTGGGAGACTGTTCATCTGAATTTTCTCTGGGAAAAAATGAAAAGTCTTGGTGCTGGTTTCATGAGGGGCACTTTTATCATAACAATTCTTGTCTGGAGTTAATTGACTGTGCTACATCCAGTAGTACGCTTGGAGTGTATCTGGACTGGCCAGCAGGTATTTTGTCCTTTTTTCGGGTCTTTCCTGATACACTGAGCCACCTGTACACCGTCTGTACAACTTTTACTGAGCCCCTCCATCCTGGTTTCGCTGTGGATTTTGGATCAGTTTACCTTTGTAAAATAAAGTAACCAAAAATCTAAAACCAAAAGAGCTGATCCCTGCTGGTTACATGCAAAAACTGTGCATGTCAAATAGTAATAATAATTATGAAAAAATAGTACAGTGGCACATTTAGGCAAATATGAAATCAATTCTTATCTCCTAAAATCTAATATTTTTAATTGCACCTTTGATATCTGGTTGAATCCCTGTGGATATATGCACAGGCAAACCTATAAGTACAGTATGTGAGTGTGTGTGTGTTTTAAGGTAAAAAGCACACACTGATGAATGTACAATGAAGTCACGTGTGTTTGTGTGTGGGGTGTGTGTGTGTGCGCGCGTGTATGTTCTTGGATTGATTTAGAATAAATACCTTGTAAGCATTACACTTAGTTCTGAAGGCTGCTATGTTCACAAAGGCATCTCTGTGTGAGTATGTATGTATGACTTTCTATTCTGAAAAATGAAAGTGAAATATTTTGTCTAATTTGAAGCCTAATAAAAACAGTTTAACATTATTATTCTCTCTCTCTCTCTCTCTCTCTGTGTGTGTGTGTGTGTGTGTGTGTGTGTGTGTGTGTGTGTGTGTGTGTGTGTGTGTGTACAGATTCCAGCATAGACAAAATATCTTAAAAAGAATAATTCCACCCTAAATAAATAGACTTGGGCACACTGACACTGAAAGTAGCTGTCTAATAAGTTTTAATAGCAGCAAATAGTGACAAAAACATAGATAAGAAACTATGACAGGCATAGAAAAAGGCGATTTTGTTTGATATCCAATGAAAACTAATAAACTAATGGTTACAGGGGAAAGAATTTGACCATTTGAGAAGCACTGAGAATAACTAAATGTGCTATCTTAAAAGAAAGCATGTGATGAAAAAGTCTCCAGGCTAAGGTTGATGGAGTGAATGAACCTAAACTCTGTAAAAACAAGAACAAAACGCTGTAAAAGAGAAATACAGGGTGATTTTTAAAAATCCTAGAATAGCCTCAGTAGCCAGATACATCTTTCAGGTAAAAGTGAAGAGAGCAGACTTCTTCATCTGACAGCTCTTGATACCCTACTAGTAATATTTTCTGTAAATAAGACTAATTATCTTCATACCTATGTGTTACTACAGAATGACCTGCAGCAAAATTGGTCCATAATGATAATAACAAACTTATTAAAATGATAATAATAGTACTACAGTACCATTGTAAGTGCTCTGGAGTCTGGAATAAAAACAACAATTAAAAGCTGATCTTTGGAGAGTTAATAATAAATAATAATAATAATACGGTTGGTAAAGCTTGTTGACATTGCTCAAATATATCACTCCTGCTGAATGAGCAGGCTGGATAGCAGATGCAACTATTTGCAAAACAGCAGATGTAACTGCAGGAAATAACTTGAAGATAAATCGGATCGATTCTATGTGTCTTGGTTAGTGGTTAGTGTGATTTTATCACTAATGTTGCTAGTGTTTGAACTTCATCTGTGGGGGTATTTATTTTTGCCACAAAGAGATTCACACTTTATCACACATACATCCAATCACACTGAATGTGCACGCAGTGACAAAAAGGAATAATTGTGGGAAATTCTCTGATCTAACTTGCCAAGAGTAAGATAAGTAACCAGTAGGCAGGGGACCACCTCGAAGACCGTTGCAGAACGTTGCGCAACGTTGCAAGGAAACAAGTCGTTCAATCAGAAAATGTTGCAAACCGGTGCAATACTTTTTGAGATTGAACTCGCCCCAGTTTTTCACAGCAATGGTGGATCATGGAGCGCCTGAATAGCAGCGGAGCTGCAATAGAAAATGCTATCTGGGATGCACGTTTGAAAGGAAAGACCTGTAAAAATTGAGATTATATATTATTAGCACAACTGAATGAAGTTAATATGTGCATTAAAACATGTTAACTAATTATGAGACTGGCAATGCATAAAGTTAGCAGCACACAATATAAACAGGGGCCTATTAATTTATTTCAAAATACGTATTTTTTGTGGGGGTGGTATTTAATTTTATTTAAATATATTAGTGGTGCATATATGAATAAAATATTTCAAAACATTATTTATTAATTTTTTTTGGGTGGGCGGGGGCTGGTGAGGATTTACCCCTAACATTAAAAGTAGTATACTAGCATATTATAAAAACAATCTTCATAGTAAACATTAATTGTATTAGAGCAGTAGACTTATGAACTTATTTTCCACACAACAATTCAGGTTTATTTACCCACATTAATACATCATGGTGGCTGAATGCACTACATACTTTGTACAAATTCATATCACATCATCATCAAAGTTTCTGTGTGTGAGAACTGTTTGAAAAAGTTAAAAAATTCACTAACTAACAAACTATCTAGTAACTGATGTCAACATCAGCAGCAAAAGCTGTTTGTCTAACCCTTTCTCTCTATCTTGTTCTCCCTCTCTCAGCACAAGAATCACAGGGGATTCAGTGGAGCCTGAAGATTGTCTGCAGTAATGTTTTTAATAAACCAAACATTAAGCCAGTTATGTGTTCTTTCTTCGTGGAAAAAGTACCTCACATATTTTTTTTGTTGTTAGTCTCTTTAGTGATTGTAAGGTTGCTCCTGTTGACTTGAGTCAATAATTTTTTCCTCCTCTCCATGTCAGCTGGGAAACCACATATTCATACTCCTTTTTCTGACCGACTGCAGCAGCATCTCCACACAGCACAATAAACCATGCTGTAGACTTATGTAAGACAGTACACAGGCACAAACCACTTAACATGCTGTTTTCTGAGTTTATTGGAGATTTATTAAATTAATACATGACAATCAATGATAGTCACCTGTCCATTTTCAATTGCCCACCTAAGACTTCCAGGAAAGTGCGGTCTCCATGAACCACTTGACGGTCAAGCATTCTGGACCCCCGCTGACGCTACTCTCTCTTTACAGGGCTCTGGAGTACACCGGTGTTGTGTCGAATGTGTGTGTTTTCTGTGGAGGTAGGGACAAGCTGCAGAAGAAAGAGCAGTGTAATTTAATTAATGTACAGAGACAGTTAGTAGTCACGCATTCACCGTGAGACACGCATTTCAGCGAGTTCACACGCTCACACGCCACACCTTGTATTTCTCACTCTGAGAAGTTAATAGATAACGTCCTCGAAGTTGTCCCACTATATTCAAGTAGTGGACGATCATTTTGTGCCGAGTTCAAAGCTTTCTCTGTATTCTACTAAATGCCAGCGCCGTTTAGCCGATCAGAAATTAAAATGTGTTGTTTCCGGGTAAACTCTGTGATCCCGCTGAAAGCACGTTCGGTACCAGGCGACATGGATGCGCGTGGTGTGGACATATGGAGTTGAAGTTGGAAGACCTGATGGATGCGGTAACTGTAGTTTTTTTTTTAAGCATTTTGATTTTATGATTCCTGGACACTTGCCTGTGATCAAAGATAGAGAGAGCGGCTGATGTTGGGGAGTATAGCCAAATAAGTGCTAAATTATTATTGATGCAGTCAAAAACTCTCCAACCTCTTTGCAACCAGAAGCTTTGGCTTTTGTAGCCTGTAGAGACCAAAGTAACTTAGGCCTATACAGATACTTTAAAAAATAAATGAAAGTACCAATACCTCACTGTAAACATACTCTGCAAGTAAGCCTACTGCATTGAAAAAGTTAAGTAAAAGTATGTAAGTAGGCTATGAGCTGAAAAACGTAGAAGTAGCCAAAATAAAATAAAATAAAGTAGCCTACTCAAAGCAGAAAGAAAAATGTCCCATATGACTGTATACTATTATGTGTTATATCATTAGATTATTACTCATCATGCCTTAATGCAGTTGGTTGAGGTTGAACTATTTTGTATTAGTTACCCAGAACCCTAAGTGACACCTGCACAATGCTTATTTTGTCAGTCCAAACCTCAAAATAACTGAAAATACATTAAAATAATCAAGTAAATCATCATCAAGGCATTAAAATGTGCAACAAACAATTACAACACAAAACACCTTACATAAGCTGAAATGTGTAGCCTCGTCACACACACAGCTTGCATACATGCGTAGGGCAAGTTCTGCAATCCTACTGTAGGCCTAGGTGTACAGAACGTCTCGGGTTACGTACGTAACCCGAGACGTTCCCCTTCGAGGGAACTCGAACTGCGTCGGTGACGACACTATGGGAACGAGATACCCACTTAGGCCGCGCCGAAACCCTGCCTGTCCCCAGGACCAGTTGTCCAGTTGCTGATGGTGTGTTTAGAAGCGGGGAGCCCAGTCTTGGGGGACCCGAAACACACCAGCAACTGCTCTGCTTTCCTCCACCGGGAAGACCTTAGAGTGTAAATACTCAGTGCTCTGACAGGGCAGAGCAGACATGAGGTGGGGGATGAAATGCCTGCAGCACCGTGGACCCTGCCAGTCTGGCCGGAACCTTAGGGACATAACCTGGACAAGGGTGCAGGATGGCCCTGACCCTCCCCGGGGCAAACTCCAGGCATCGGGGAGAAACCGAAAGTGCCTGGAGATCCCCCACCCTCCTCAGAGAGGTGAAAGCGAGGAGAAAGATCATCTTAAGGGTCAGGTGCTTGGCCTCAGCCGACTCCAGACCCATAGCTGCCACAGGGCGGGGTGAGGGTGAAAGCTCCGGCCCTCCGCCTGGGACAGCAGGTCTCTCCTCAGAGGGACCTGCCATGGCGGGCCCTCGAGGAGCGATATTAAACCCTCGTGCCAGCCAAAACAGGGCTACTAGTAGTAGACTGACGCCTTCCTGGCAGACCCGCTCCAGAACCCCCGGGAGCAGAGCGACTGGGGGAAACGCATACAGACGCAGCCTCGGCCCTCTTGGTCCCCAGCCCCGCTAGGGAGAGAGGGAGAACCACAGGGGCCTGTGCGCCGTCGTGGAGTCTCCATTCCCCGGGCCTCAGCCCCTGCCTCGACAGAAGGTCTGCTCCTTGATTCTGGGTCCCATCCCCCTGATGTACATCGCTCTGAGGGACAGCAGTCTCCACTGGGACCACAGGAGGATCTGATGTGCCAGTTTGTATAATGGGCGCAGACCCCCCTGGTGATTCAAATAGGCCACCACTGCTGTATTGTTGGTTCTGACAAGTATGTGGCGACCGCGGAGGGCGGGCAGAAAACTCCTCAGAGCTCTGAAAACCGCCAACATTTCCAGGCAATTTATGTGCCAAGAGAAATGATGCTCCTCCCAGGAGCCTCTCGCGAAGTGGCCGTCCATGACCGCGCCCCATCCCGTGATGGCTGTATTTGTCTTTTTAAGGAAAAGGTCAACTAGCCTGTTTAAAGAACAATTATTTGCCTAACACATACAGATAAAACATTAATAAGGATTTTTATGGAATGTTAACTGAACTGGTTGTAGTCTAGGGACATTAGACAATTTTAACTGTAAAATCAGAAACCATTAAGTAATTCAGTCTGAGATTCCTTAACTCATATTTTTATGTAGTATTCAACTAGTCTATATACTGCATAGTAGAATTCCTGAAATTCAGTTATGGCTGTTGGTTTA